CCTCCTAGGGTGCTGTAAGGACTTACCTTAAATGATGCCTCTTGATCCGATCATCTTCCTTCCACTTGTTTTCAGGAGTCCCTCCAGCGCTGGTGCCGGTCTCTGATCCCGCGCTGACTGCTGCGTCTCCTGTGTCCCGCGGTGTCTGTGCACGTGCATGCTGTGGGCTGTCTGCATTGACTTACCCTGTGTCTCCTCTTCTCCCGGCCAAAGATCTGAACTGAGCATGCGCCCGCTCCATCATTCTGCACGGCCGCTCGGGAATCTTCAGATCTTCGGACGGAAGCGAGCGGCGGCGACACATACGGCGGCGGCGACACAGATACGTTTTTACCTCTTTGGTAACGTTTTATTTTTTGCAAATATCTTCTGCCTGCTAGCCGTAGATATATGCAAAACAAAAAATGAAGGTTGAACTCTACCCAGTCCAAAGGGGGATCCCTGGGAAAGCACCCTCCCAACGCCGTGAGCATGTGGTCTGGTATGGCAAAGAGGGGAGCGCTCGCCTGTCCCCCTTCCCCTGTCCCCAGGTAAAAGGTCTGTTGGGAATTTTTTGGCATTGGGGTCCCCCTTAAAACTCCTACCAAACCTAAAGGGCCTGATATAACTTTTGGGGGGAACCCCAAACACTTTTTAAAACATTTTTTTTAACTGGGGGATCCCTCCTAACATTCCTACAAGACCTAAAGGGTCTGGTATGGATCGGGAGGGGGGACCCCACACTGTTTTATTTTATTTTTTTATACATTTTTTTTCATAAATAGTCCCCAAAGTATGTAAAATAAATAAAAAGAAGGTCACATCATAATTGCTCAATGTTCCAGTAACATGTCTAAGAGTGATTGCGCGTAATACATTGTAGTCTCCCCTAGGGATGGAGTCTTATACAAACATGAAATGATATGTGACCTCCACGTGACCAGGACATTCCCCGGTGATAAAATGAGAGCCTTGTACACCATTCCCAATACATGTCCAATATACGTCTCACCTGTACACCCTGCACACTATATACACACACCGGGGAGGAGTCCCATGTGTATGATGATCATACATGATGAGGGTTTGCCTCCAGTGAGTGTATGGAAACAAACCAGACAAACAGCTGAATACCAGTGTGTGTCACTTCTGATAGCTCAGTCTTCCTTGTACAGCACTGCGGTATATGTCAGAGCAATATAAATGTATAATAATAATATTGTGTGACTGTGGGGGAGGGGACATTAGAGTGTAAGCTCCTCTCTACAGAGACTGATGTGACTGTGGAGGGGACATTAGAGTGTAAGCTCCTCTCTACAGAGACTGATGTGACTGTGGAGGGGACATTAGAGTGTAAGCTCCTCTCTACAGAGACTGATGTGACTGTGGAGGGGACATTAGAGTGTAAGCTCCTCTCTACAGAGACTGATGTGACTGTGGAGGGGACATTAGAGTGTAAGCTCCTCTCTACAGAGACTGATGTGACTGTGGAGGGGACATTAGAGTGTAAGCTCCTCTCTACAGAGACTGATGTGACTGTGGAGGGGACATTAGAGTGTAAGCTCCTCTCTACAGAGACTGATGTGACTGTGGAGGGGACATTAGAGTGTAAGCTCCTCTCTACAGAGACTGATGTGACTGTGGAGGGGACATTAGAGTGTAAGCTCCTCTCTACAGAGACTGATGTGACTGTGGAGGGGACATTAGAGTGTAAGCTCCTCTCTACAGAGACTGATGTGACTGTGGAGGGGACATTAGAGTGTAAGCTCCTCTCTACAGAGACTGATGTGACTGTGGAGGGGACATTAGAGTGTAAGCTCCTCTCTACAGAGACTGATGTGACTGTGGAGGGGACATTAGAGTGTAAGCTCCTCTCTACAGAGACTGATGTGACTGTGGAGGGGACATTAGAGTGTAAGCTCCTCTCTACAGAGACTGATGTGACTGTGGAGGGGACATTAGAGTGTAAGCTCCTCTCTACAGAGACTGATGTGACTGTGGAGGGGACATTAGAGTGTAAGCTCCTCTCTACAGAGACTGATGTGACTGTGGAGGGGACATTAGAGTGTAAGCTCCTCTCTACAGAGACTGATGTGACTGTGGAGGGGACATTAGAGTGTAAGCTCCTCTCTACAGAGACTGATGTGACTGTGGAGGGGACATTAGAGTGTAAGCTCCTCTCTACAGAGACTGATGTGACTGTGGAGGGGACATTAGAGTGTAAGCTCCTCTCTACAGAGACTGATGTGACTGTGGAGGGGACATTAGAGTGTAAGCTCCTCTCTACAGAGACTGATGTGACTGTGGAGGGGACATTAGAGTGTAAGCTCCTCTCTACAGAGACTGATGTGACTGTGGAGGGGACATTAGAGTGTAAGCTCCTCTGGTGTTCTCTGTACAGCACCATGGAATATGTCAGAGTTATATGAATTAGACACATTGATACATATGAATACATTCTGTGATGAATCGGTATATTGCTCGGTGTATTTTGTGCTCTTTGTATATACAGAATTATTACATATATATCACATTTCCTTCTATTGTTCCATTGAATCCCATCATCTGTGTATTAGAATATTTCTATGACCTCCCCTCGCCGTCCTCCGGTCCTGCACAGCCATGGCACCCCAATATGTTATATCGCACACCTCGCCCTCCCCCCGTCCCTCCCTCTCCAGAGTCCTGACACAGTTTGTAAGTCAATTCTTATATTATATAGTCACATGCATTCCCCACCTTGTACCTGTATTGTTGGAGGTCCGTTCTTCTATCCTTCTGTCCTTCGTCCTGTGTTCTGATCGGCTCTTATCTGGATCTTATCAGAGCTCTGTATCATGTGACCAGCCCACGCTCTGATTGGCCACGGTGGCCATGGCAGGTGATGGCGAGGACACTACAAAGTCACAGGATATGGGACTTTCCTGGTCACACTCGTCTATGGGCCCTCCCCTATGTGAAGGTCTTCTCCAGGAAGGTGACTTATCGTGACCCACATTGGCCATCACCTTCGTCCAATCCCGACTTCTCTTCAGGTGGACACCCAAACATGGATGACTATCTGGGATGCAGGTGCCAGGAGAGCCAGTTACAAGTTTGCATTTGAGAACCAACCGTGTCCGTACAATGTGTCGCATGCCCAAGTGTCTCCCGGTGCCATCTGATCGGAACACACATGCCACACAGGACCAGGAGATCCAGCGATGTGCAACATTTTAGGTCGTCCATGATGTTACATGCAGAGCTCCATGTGATGCTATGCCTCCAGGATGAAATCCAATGAATGAAAGGGGCGGGACCAGGGACAGTGAGGCTGAGAAGGCAAGTAGTAGATGATGCTGGAGGTCTTCCAGCCAGGATATGAAGTGGGCTTTATCTGATTGCTGCAGCTTCTAAAGTGCATTGTGACAATTCGCAGTTGCCAACATTTAAAAAAACTTTCCAGGGACGTTTTGTTTTTGTGCTGTGCATCCATTAAACCATTATATGTGGAGAAAGTACTTTAACTGGGGGAGGTGCAATCATTTAAAATGGTCGTGGTTCTACAATAAGCATATGGTAATCTATTGTGAAATCAGAGTAAGCAAATTGAGCGCAGGAGAGGAGACTGTGAAACCATGGAGGTATCATGTACCTGGTTAGGGGCCGAGATGACAAGAGGGCTTCCCTTACCCCTCTGGAATGGAGATCAGGGAGTGAGAGGGCAAAGGGTCCAGTCCGCGGACCAAATGACTGCAAGTGGCTCATGCAGACTGTTAGCGAGAGCCCTGAGGGCTGCAGGAGATGCCACCATGGAGGACTGACTGGACAGCAGCTGGCAGAAACAATGGAGCCCGCAGCAGTTTGGCGGGTGGCCGGGGACAAGTGGTCAACAACTGGAAAGGCAGACAGGGGTCAAGGCATAATGCAGAGTTGGCGTCAAGAGTCAAGCTGAGCTTACACCAGGAAGTCAGCAGAGGCAGAGTCGTGGTCAAAAGGCAGGTCGAGGTCACACCAGGAAGTTCGCAGAGTAGTGGTTAATAGTCAGGCCGAGGTAACACAGGGAAGACAGCAGAGTCATGGTCAAGAGGCAGGCCAAGGTCACACTATGAAGGCAGCAGTGGTAGAGTCATGGTCAAGAGGAAAGCCGAGGTCGCATGGGAAAGTCAGCAGAGGTAGAGTCATGGTCAGGTTTTGCAGGCCGAGGTCACACAGGTGAAGTAAACCGGTGAAGTCAACAGCTCTGCTGTCACACCAGGAAGTCACCAGAGGTAGAGTCATGGTCAACTCAGGACGCAGGCGGAGGTCTCACCGGAAAGTCAGCAGCGGTAGAGTCATGGTCAGGACGCAGGCCGAGGTCTCACCGGAAAGTCAGCAGCGGTAGAGTCATGGTCAGGACGCAGGCCGAGGTCTCACCGGAAAGTCAGCAGCGGTAGAGTCATGGTCAGGACGCAGGCGGAGGTCTCACCGGAAAGTCAGCAGCGGTAGAGTCATGGTCAGGACGCAGGCCGAGGTCTCACCGGAAAGTCAGCAGAGTCGTGGTCTTCCTAGCTCCGCTCTGGTCCTTCAATAGGCCACCGAGCTTAGAACTAGGGGTGAGCGCCTGTGCACACCCACATATCTGCGCAACTGGCTATTGTATCCTAATGCGCTCACCTAAATGTACCTGCGTGGAAATCGCCGTGTCCTATGCATTGACGCATGACCTCTGATGCCGCCCTGACAGGAAGGTCAGAGTTCAGCTTTAAATGATGAAATAAACATGGCTGACACCGGCCCGTCTCCGGCCTCGCTCCCCTTTCACACATCGGGGATTCTGAATAGAAATATATTTGTAGTTCATGTACAAGGTGTGACTTGTTAGTGAGGGGAAGTGCGCGGCCCCTGACATTGTACAACGCTCAATGTCAGTCAGCATCAGCCAAAGCCAACAAGATAACCGCATTGGCATTACACGCCAATCTTAACTCTTTACTGTCACCTTGAGCACCGGCCGCGTGCAACTCACCATTCATGTCACAACTCCATGGCCATGTTATGTTCTAAATGACATACATGAAGGTCGGTGATGTCCTGAGTCTTATGAGTTTACAAGGGCGAGCTGATTTTAAAGGAGAACTATGAGGGGGGGGGTGCTTTTCACTCACCTCATAGTTCTAGCCGACCTGTGACAATGAGACTGTCACAGGTCGGCTCAGTAGATCGGGAGGTGAGCGAACACATACCGGCGCTCGCTCACCTCTCGATCCTGTCACGGCTCTCTGCCGTGACAGGGGAGGGGCTGGATTCCCCCCTCCCCGCTCCGATCCGCCAGTGCTGACTGGCGGAACGGACGGGGGAGGGGGCGGGTACAGCTGGCTCTGCCTCTAGATAGGAAGAGCCAGCTGTCACTCACGCAGCTGGGCGGATCCAGACATAATTGTCGGGATTCGCTCCAGCTGCGGCGTCTCAGTATACCGCGAGCATCTGAGCCTAGGGTGACGGGAGGACGCTAGTTTGTGTCAAGACTTAACCCCATAGTTCTCCTTTAAAGGTTTGTTTGAACATTGTTAATTCTGCTCAGACAGTTTTGTGATTTATACACGGCTGCCACTTTATGCAGCCAAAAGGTGACACCAGCCCGTGGATTCCTGTGTGTCCCCCAGTGCACCCCATGTTACTTGTTTGGTCAGAGGTACGTGGTTGGTCACATACACAGAATACAATGCCCCCCCCCCCCCCCCAA